CCAACTATCGTTGGCGCCTACTCAAGAATAGTGATTTTTATTTTTGAAAATGAGATGCAAACCGCGGGAGTATCTGGGGAATCCAAGATGAAAGAACCTCCGATCCATAAAAGGCCTATTCCCGACTTCGGGGACCAATAAAGTCCCGAAGACGTGCGTGCCGTAATTGTCCCATATCTGCAGATGCTCCATGCAGCCGAAGCGCAGCCTGGTATAATTAAACCACCCGCGCTCACTTTCTCGGATTCCGCGCGAGGGACACTATTACAGCGCACTACAGCGTCCAAGAAATCCTAATTCAATGCGAAAGTGTTCATTTGATTCCTCGGGTGCAGGCAAACCTACCTTTTTTTGGCCGCGGGTGTAACCTTCAGATGCACGGAGGTGTTTAAAAAGTCTCAGCCTGCTCGTATTAAGCTTGTCAAAGCGGCTACTCACACTGGCACACGATTTTTGGCTAGCGAAAAATAACTAACTTGGCAGGATTATTATTTGACCCAAGCAACCTGGCAGCGGATTTTCATAAACGCTTCCAGACAGCATCCCAGATTATCTAGACAGTCCATTTCCCGTATACAACCGACTATTATCAGTATCACTCAACTGTAATAGCTAGGTCCTGACTCCTGAAGGTACAAGCAATTAGTATTGCGAGGCTTCAATGGTGGGTACCGGCGATAACATATCTCGCCTGCCCTGCCCATGGTACAAGGACAGAATTTTTTTATTATCGCATAAATAGTGGAAGCGCGGAATAAAATACGCGTCCAAGAGGAATAGGAACCTGATTATCTGGACGAAAAACACTTCCCGACGTCTGGCACCGCTCGGATTCGCTTTTACTTACTCAACTCATCGTGTGAATACTGATTGATGTCACATGATCTAATTAGCCCGTGTCGCGCGACGCGCCCACTTTCAAATTCCCGCCTATCAAAGTAAAAGGCCTGACAGATGCAGGCCATAAAAATATGTTGTAGACCGGTAGAATATTTTTTGTCAAGGGTTTGCCTAGTATGTACACGAATAAAATATAATAAGCACTATGATACAAATAAGTACGGCATGTTAATGGCATGGAATCTCAGTGTCGGAGAAGGGGCAGGAAGGGCCTACTACAAGATTACAAAGTAAGTGTCCATTGATGGAAAGCTCGTGTGTCGATCCGAAGAAGACGGTATTCAAAGTTAATCGTAATATACACAGCAAATAAAACAAAATGCGGACATTCAGAAATCTCTCAGAACTGGCGTGCCAACTTTGAAAGCGACACTTAAATTTCTGGACTTGTAGCGGCTGGCTTGAACTCCCATTTAAAGCTCATCATTGCCGCCATCCGAGCGGCTTCTTGTGTCACGTCGTGGAACTCCACGATGTCGATATCTTCGTCTATAGTATCTGTAGGTGGGCTCCAAATGCTCGGTGTAGGGGGGTCATCGAGCGGGCCAATTGAGGGAGAAGATTCTGATGCCTTGAGGGTGGACATAACGCGCTTGAGGTTGTTGATGGATAATTTTTTCGTCAGGCGCTCCCAATGCGCTGCGGGCTGTGCTTCGAGCTCGTCGCGAGGCGGATCTTCTGAGCCATGATTAGGCGCTTCTTCGTTGAGCGGTGCATCGCGTGCGTTCAAGAATACCCTCCAGTAGGGATTGAACATTCCTTCTTCCGCGGAAGATTTCTTGGGCCGGGCGTCAAGCAGATAGGAGCGCCGAACCGTCCGACGTACAGCGCGCAAAGGCGTGATCTTCACCCTGACAGCTGTGGCACGAATGGAAGGAATATCGTCGTCGGTGTCGAGGTCGCGTTCGGAGTCAGAGCTGAATCTGAAGTCGTCTGTGCCCTCGGAACTGATGTCGGATTCATATTCTGAGCCTGCACGATCATCGAAGCTCCGTTTATGGTACCCGTTCTTGAAAAAGCTATCATAGGATCCGCGAAGATTAAAGTCCTTATCGAAGTCCCTGCGGTCGTTGAGCTCTGTTTGAGAGAAGTCGAAATCGGGGAGGTGGAACTGTTGATCGAAGAAAAGCTGGACATTATCGTCAGCTGAAGGTGAAGGTGGTTCCGTTGAGGAGAAAAAGGAGATCTCCGGTGAGATCGAGGTATTAGACAGACAGTCTGACAAATTGTCGGGGAGTAGGACTATCTCTTCCAAGGAGTCAAATGTGCCGGAATGCGCTTGGTAAAAGTGCCTGCCAGTGCCAGTAAGCATTCTCGACCACGACTCAGATTGATAATTGGATAGGGAAAGTATGGATGCAGTGGGATTCTAAACAAACGGCATATTTATATGTACCATCACGGCGCGAGTCTGTACACTAGAAGATGTATATAGCGCCGTACAGTCACAAAGACTGTAGATGGTGATGTTCATGTGGAACACCGGGGGTTCTTGATATTTTGATTGATTCAGAGTCCTCACGTATAACGGTGAGATCGCGCCCTTGTAACCGACTTGTATGAGCTATCAGATTGCGGGTTGAGGACCTCTGAAGAGGTAGGTAACCCATATACTATTTACATCGTAGCACAAGGCTACATTAACCACAATCATTGCACACCTCCTTGACGGATATTTTCAACAAGTCGAACGTCAAGCCGGGCTCAACAGTGATGGAACAGCGTGATGCTTCAGCTAGGGTATCATAGCAGACAGCCGAAACAATCCATGCCGGTTTGACGTGAGAACATCATGGCTACGCTTCACGAAAGTAGAGAAAATGCATGGCGACAATACGAAGTATTAGTGTACTACTGGGTTACTGTGTTCTACGACATTGACATTCTGCCTTCTTAGTTTTATTAAAAGTCTTTCTGACGATCACAGGCCACTGACTTTTGCTTGACCGCGTCTGATTGTTGTAATATAAGAATTCCAACGATCGCGCGAACTGCCACTCCTGTGATACTCGCATGATCTAAAGATGGTATCGAATATTGGCCTTTGAACGTCAACTCACATCCCATAGGTAGAACTCAGTTCTGGTGTTCCATTTTCTGGACAGTTTGGGATGTAGTTCGATTGATCCAATCCACGAGCTTCAAGGACCTGCCATAACTGAGCGTAAGTAAGTATGCTGAGACCAACATCCAATGATTCCATGATCTAAAAATAGACTATGCAGTGAACTCTCATTCATCGACTTCGAATTGTGATCTCCATGGCCGGAAATTTTCTGATCAAGTAACCAGTCGAAGTACAAGATTATCCTCGGACATCTAGACTTGAACAAGGTTTGAATAGAATTGTTGATTGTCACCGTGCATTTCAAATCTAGACAGCCTCAGGCACTGCTACCAAGACCACAAGGCGCTCGACTTGAGATTGGCAAGCATTTGCGGTAAAATACAAAATCATATTTGGGCGCTTCATATGTTGACATTATCACTGTGGCGCTTTTGTGGCCCCTTCGAACTCCCCAGAGGTGTCCTTAGATAGAATATCTTCGAGAGGATGAGCCAAGGATGAGCATGACGCAACTTGGTCACACTCCGCCATTCGGAGTTGAAATTTCGGACATTACCGCAAGTTTGACTTGCTTGAAAGTTGCTGTTGGAACGATGACTCGGACGGCGAGCCAACAACGAGCCAACGTTCAAATGGTCAAAATTTTAACGTGCAATGTGCGACTTTAGTCTCTCTTTTTTACCCTCAATTCCGTGGTGCTCAAGAGGAAACAGGAGTTAACCATTCCGACGTCGACCCCCGACGTCTGACAACTGCATTTCCTTGATACATCTTCCCTCCGACGTCCTCGTCTCAGTTTTCTACTATCCTGACCTACTTGATATCATAAGCTTTAGCAGGGTGAGCGCACCTCTTATCCGTACAACTCTGCTCATTTCAGCAACTGATGTTTCCTATGACGTGCAAATTAAATTCATCCAGGCCGATCAAAAACGTAGCTCTCTACTTGCGTCTTGATAGGTGGTGTATAAAAGTGGGAAGGTAATTCTTTTCGATGAGCATGCTTCAATATGGGACCTTCCAGAAGTCAACGTCGTCCGGCAAGGTATCACCATAGACCTACCTGCCCCTCCTCCTCTGTTGAGGCTCGCGTCCCATCCGCCTATCCCAATTGGAGAAGTTCTCCACGGCCTGAATATTATGAATACCCACCGCTGCGACTAACACATTGATCGCGAGCCCCCCCTCTCCCAATACATCCTAACTCATCAACAGGGTTCCGTCCACGTTCGGATGAGCCCCTCCTCTATCCATCATACCCCAGGCCACTGCATCATTGTCTTATGTGTTGCTTGGAGACAGTGTCCTTGAAAACGCCTTGGAGCGCTGATGCCATTATCCTGCGGACCTGGTACGCGCCGGTGTCCGGCACCCTTTATGTTCTGCCTTCTGCTGCTGACGGCGCGGTGAAGCGAGGCGCTTACTCCCCCCAAATTCACTCTCTGCGACCAGCATACAAGGACTGGCTCGACTACAGCTTCGACCCTACCTTGGGGAGGACTCCCTCAACCATGATGGCGAGATATTTGTCTTCGTCTGGGAGAGCGCCAACGCCAACGCAGACAAGATAGCATCGGATTCGTACCTGGATGGGCATGCACACTATTGATTACTTGCGGCATTCGGTAGAAGAGGCCGCGTCTCGTAGGGAGTCTTTTTGAGGCAATTATATTGACGAAAGTTACGTAGATCGGGTGCCGGTGAAATCCCAACGTGCGCAATGTGAGGCAATGTGTCGCACCAGTCCCAGTTGACCGGGCATAAGTCACCTTGGCATGTCAGCATAACCTAAATACTGAACAGTAGCCACAGCTTGCTCGAAGTTCGAACAGCTCGGAGAGCTAAAAATGTTTACAGCTAACGGCACCCCCGGGGTAAGTGGTCAAATGGAGTACTAGTATACATTTTTCTGGGCTTGATTAACCGCCGGGTTGGCGCTGGTCGGTGGCAGCTGCCAGCAGGCTGCTGCAAACAAATTTCAAAATTAGAATGCAGAAAGTTCGGGGTTCTTGCGGCCTCCAAAAAATAGACTAGCCCACCGCGAGGGTCGAACTCGCAGCCTTCAGATTTCATCAATCAACAGATATCAACCCGCCTTCGTAAAAGTCTGACGCTCTATCCGATTGAGCTAGGCGGGCAACCATGGATAAAAAGCTTGATGACAGCTCTAGTCTGGACCATTGCAATTGCACTCGGCGGGACTACTTGGGGTAGAAAAAACTATAGTTATAATCTTACTTATAAGCTGCTTATAAGCGATCATAACAGAAAGCGCCATCTAGGCTGTCCCTGGGATTTGTGGACTGGGCCCTGGCTATTGTTAGAATGATACGCACGTGCCAAGATTAGTAACATCCCGGAGGGACTTTGTTTGGTCCTGTATATATCCATCCTTGCCTCTACCCACCATCACAGACTCCAATGGCGAGCAAAGCCGCTCAGAAACGTGTACGTTGCCGAATAACCTCTTGACACCGTGCCGGACGATGAGGACGGAATTTGAGTGTCTTTCGACGAGTGGTGTGGGCTGACACCCCCTTTTGATCGTTCTATCTAGCTCTCGAAGGAATATGCTGCGATGCAGAAGGAGCCTCCGCCGTTCGTGTGGGCGGCCCCAGATGAGAAGAACATACTGAATTGTGAGTGCGCTATATAATTCTAATCGTATCGACGTTCTGAATTGTGCACAGGGAACTTCCTTATCGTACGAGCATTGCGTTGCCGTCTGCCGCTGGTTACTGAGTGCTTATTCTAGCGCGGGCCACCCGACTCGCCGTTCACCGGTGGCGAATACCACGGCGTGCTCCTGTTTCCCGCCGAATACCCCTTCAAGCCACCGGGTATCAAGGTACGCACCTTGCGTGTGGCTGGTCCGTATGGTGGCTCACTTACCCACACAGATGTTCACCCCGTCGGGGCGCTTCTCGCCAGACAAGAAGATCTGCTTTTCCATGTCCGACTTCCACCCCGGATCAGTGAGTTCTCCCCGCGTTACGTCGTAATGCTACTAATCAGGCGCAGTGGAACCCCGCGTGGAGCGTGGCCACGATTCTCACCGGCCTCCTTTCCTTCATGCTCTCAGATGAGATGACCACCGGGTCTGTTACGTCCTCAGAGGCGTACAAGCGGGCATTCGCTGCACGGAGCCACTCCTGGAACATCACCCAACCGCGCTTCAAGGAGGCCTTCCCGGAGTATAGTTCCCCGGTCATGCGGGATTTGCCAAACATGGGTGAGAAGGAGCGAGGGAAGCCAGATGTACCACCACCTGGGTCGTCACATCCGCCGCCATCGTTATCAATGTCTGCCACTGCACCCATCCCCGCGGCGGTGCGGCATATGCCCGCCGCGGCCGTAGTTCCCGATCCCGAGCCCGCAGCACCACGGAAGGCTGACGACCCTACACGTGCGGGCGCTCCCGCACTCCCCGCTGTTGCGTGGACCTGGACAAACTGGCGATCATTCATATACGAGAAGTGGCGACTCTGTGCTTTCATAGCTCTAGCAGTCATGCTTTCGCGTTTCTCCACGCGAACTTGACACTTACTTGCGCACCAGTCCTCCATCTATTCACTGTGCGCCTACCAATGATCTCCTCTCCACACTCTTTTTCGGGTTTCTCTCTCCAGTTGCGCCTGTCTAAATCGTTCATTGTCATCTCTGTCTACTCCTGTCCTTCTAGTCGGCTTTGTTTCATGATAGCATAATATTTATCTCCCCATTTTCCGCCGGTGTCTGTCGCTTCTCTGTGTGTTGTAGAGGAATTGAGAGACAATGTAACAAATGAAATTGATGCATCCATGGTTCAAGCTCTCAAGATCTCAAGCCTCAGGTTGCATATATGGGCTACTTACGTAGGAACAGGTTTCGTTGTACTGCAGGTGGCATGGATTTTTCTATCGGTGGGATGGCCGCGCCGCTGGTAACCGTGTTGCGAGACGAATCATCCGTAACATGGTGACCGGCGTGGAACAAACGGCGTCCTGGATGTGGAGGCCTCGCTCAGCCAAATGCATTTTTGATCATATGCAACAGATATTCTCGAGCTGCACCAAGGCAGTAACTGGCGGCAACTGCAATAGACGGCGCATGCGAAGGAAGGCTGGTGTGGGCTGAACCGTGTTCCCGCGGTCAAGCGCCGCAACACCTCCGCAATTCCCCTCGCGCCGTCGTTGCATCACAGAGCGGCTGTGGGTGCGATGCGCTGGCCTTGTTGGCTCGGCAGCTGTGCCCCCTTGTCCGGTTCAGATTACTTTGTATTGCATCGAGCGTTCGCTATAGCCAGGAGGCGGTTACCAGCCAGTCCGATGCATGCCTTTGGCTATTTTGATATCCCGATTCGCTGTCTTCTTTGCTTGAATATTTACGCGATGCACTCAATGATTCTAGCGTCTCTGCAGTGCTAGTTTCACGGTGTTATCAATGCGATGCGACAGGCAATGGTATTGTGTTCCAGTTGAACTTCTTCGTGTGGCTCTGTACGCACTGGCCCTCTGCCGTTAGTGAAACACCGACGAGATGCAAGGAGCATGTCAAGTCAAGTCGATCCCTTGTGTATTCAATTAGAAGCAGAAAGAGTCCCGTGAGCTGGTACAGATACCCTTCTCCCTTCCCCGTAGTGGATGATTCGGCAGGAGCATGAGAGCCAGATCCCACACGTCTGCTCATGACATGTTACATGCACCACACTTACCACGCCCCAGCTGAAGATCACCCAAGATCCGTGGTGGCATTTTTGTACCACCTGTTCACGGTCTGCGGTACCGCCCGCCGCTGACTGCGCCCCCCTTGGCCTTCGCTGCAGCCTTCTTCCGCTCGCGCTCCTCCTCACGAGCCTGCGCGCCGCGCGCCCGAGGGTCAATCACCTCGTAGTCGCGCTCGGCCTTGTCCGTCTCCTCAGTGTTGTCCTTCGGGAAGTGCAGCGCGTGCGCCATGAAGCCCGTGTCATCATCCACCTCCATACCCGCGTCCTCCACGGGGGCCGCTTCGGGGGCGGGCGCGTCTGCGTCCCCACTAACGTCGGCCGGGGGTGAGGGCGACTTGGCGAACATAGTGCTCTGCAACTTCCCTCGGAAGCTGTTTAGAGCTGCGAGCACGTCGCCCTCGTCGCGTTTGCGGCCCTTCTTGTGCAGCCCGCGACTGCCCGCGTATTTCGCGAGCTCCTCGCCGAGGTACGACTTTTTCGCTTTTTTGCGCGCGCCCTCGTCATCGCTATCGCCGTCGCGTCGTTTCTGCAGCTTGCGAATTTCGGCCTCCATCTTTTCAATTTCAACTTTGCGCGAGGACCTATACAACACGGTCAGAAGGAGGTTGTTATACAAAAAAAGGGGAGCGTATACTCAGAAGAGGCTTGCTCTCGTGCATGTTGTTCGCGGATCTTGGAAAGGTCGTCATCTTTTTTCTCCTGCTTTTTCTTTGGGGTAGGATCTATCTGATAATAAATGGGTCACAAACAACGCGGGAACATCCACTGGGTTCACACCTTTGGCTCCTTGGAGGTCCCGGGAAGTTTCCCGGAGGTTCTACTGGTGTCAATTTGCGAAACGAAGTCAGGAATAGCGGTCACTTGTTTCGGGTTATCCACCACTATCAACATGACGTTAACAATATGCATGCCTGAGACGACCGTCTGACGCACGTTCAGGTCGATATATTGGCTTCTTTTTGAAAGTCTCGACCTCCTCTTCCTCGCCTGCGTCTTCGTCAGCACCAAAGCTTAGTAGCTTCACATTTCTGTAGAAAAGTCAGAGGTTCTCCGATTTTCAATAATCATGATATCCCACTTCTTAGCACCGCGTTTCCTTTGCTCGTCTTCCCGTTCTTTTTGGGCATTCTCCCTCGCCCGCTGTTGAGCACGTTTCTCTGCGGCTGTGATGCGAGGTACGATGTCGTCAAATGGGTTCTCGACAATACGAACAGACTTGATTTTCGGGGGACTGTTATTTTTTCAGCACAGGATAGTGACGAGCTTGGGTTAACTGACTATACCGGTCGGCCATCGCTGTCGATCTCTGTCATTCGAGGTCAGTCAGGTTGCCCTTTCGCAGGGGTCGGATTTGTGCGCACCCATTTCCCCAATTTTCATAACATCTATGTACATTAAAGAGGTCAGCGCCTTTCTACGCCCTATAATGTAGTGACGCACTGTACACCGTATCACCGACACAGCGGCCAAATAGCGTGTGTTTCCCATGCAACTCGTCGGCCCTATCTAGAAGACAACGTCCAGATAGGTTTTGATTTAGTTTTGTCGGCCACGTACCTAACGTGATGAAGAACTGCGAGTCGTTGGAGTTCTTCTTCCCGTTATTCGCCATGCCCACTATGCCGCGATGAGCGAAGCGTAGCCGCGGGTGGATTTCATCCTCAAATGGTTCTGTGCAAGCAAAGGAGGATCAACACAACTTGCGGAACATCCATGTCAGCATACCCACCTCCGTAGAACGACTCCCCGCCACCGCCTGTCCCCGTTTTGTCGCCTGTTTGCACCAGGAAGCCTGGCACTATCCTGTGTTCGCGCATTAACGCATGAGCTTTCCGTTTTTAAGACGGAGTATATATGTGTGGCTACGCACCTATGGAATATGACGCCATCATAGTAGCCTAGAATACCATCAACAGGCTGTCTGCGCAGGCTCAAGAGGAACTCACAAACCCTCCATAGCGAGAGCAAGAAAGTTCCGGCATGCTTTTGGAGTTTCCTGGTTCAAAGATCAGTTTCATTCCTTTCTCGATGAAGAGATTCGGACGCACTTTCGACCATAGTTCTATCTCGACTTCGCCCGCCGTTGTGTCGAGGATAACCCTGCCGTTCGTAGGAAGGGCCATTCCGCAAAGCTTACTTCAGATTAGAGAGTTGAGTGTGTGAGATAAAGCTATAAAATTCGTTCCTCGGTATATTTTCAGTATGGTGAGCCGGCGATAGCGTTGTCGTAAGGAATAGTTGAAGGAGGCGAGGTCAAGAAGAGAGCAAGAACATCGTCCGGCGCGCTAGATCATACTACAATCACGTGCATATATTCCCACGGCCGCGCGTCGGGACTCGGCGACGGGCGCGTTCGCCATCGGTCCTGGAAAGACCAGTTATGAGTCACATTATGTTTCCGAGTATAAAACTACGTGCAGACACCAACGACCG